GATGGGACTCCACGATAAAGATATCAAGGCAGCACCAAAGCCCCTAACTGGCTTTGCCAGTGAGTCCTTCTTCAGCCTCGGCACCATACATCTGACAGTCTACGTCGGCGGAGTGAAAAAGATTGTCAAATTCACTGTCATGGATTAACCAGCAATCTATAATGTCATACTTGGCACGCCTTGGATCCACGAGATGAAAGCTATCATCTCCACCTACCACCAATGCATGAAGTTTGCTACCTAGGTCGGCATCTTCACGCTTCACGGCAATCAGCAGATGGCAAGATCCTACTTTATTAGCGAACGCAAGGTGCAACTCTCCGTGGTAAAAGCCCTCGAAAACACTAAACAAGCAGAGTAGATTCAATAAAGAATCTCGCAGCTTTAATATTTTGTTTTTTTCTTAATTTATCAATAAGGGCCGGCTTGGCTCCTGAGTGATAACACTTATTTAATAATTGTAATGAACACGAACTACTTGATCCCAATTTGGGTACGTAGGCAACCTCCGGGTGCAGCTGTAAATTTAATAAATATTTATTTAGAAAAATCAGCTCGACATGTAGAGTAGTATTTTTTTATGTGAATGCATCTTGCTGAATCGGTGTTGTGGCCAAACATTTGATTCAAAAAAGCAAAAGCAAAAATTAAATTAGTGGCTGATCACCACTCCTTTGATACTTCGGTTCGATTTAATTACTTCTAAGGTGGATAAGACGAAAGCCGAGGACAATACTCACACGACCCTCGATCATACCTTTCAGGCCAAAGTGAATCCTGATAGTTTGGGATAAGACGGGCAAAGGAATTTTGCTCCCAACTCCGAACTAAAAAGTTCAAATTGCAGAAAATTTAAAGGTGTTTGAGGACACTTTAATTTACTTTGGCAAAAAAGAGAAGCAAGAAGAGCGAAACGAAAATTCATTATGAACCCTTTCGGGTAAAGTCATTATAAAAAAAAAATTTCACAAGGGTCAGTCAAATAGAAAAAACAAAAATACATAGAGAAAAAAAAGATAAGCGGCTCGATGTGGATCATCTCTTGGCTCCCCTTATGCTCACTTTAGCAGGCTATTGATATCCGATCTGCTTGGGAGGCTAAAGTCCTCGCCAGTAATAACTATCTCGTCGATAGCTTCACTGGTAGCTTTCCACTTCGCAAACTCCCTCTCAAAAGACGGAATTGTCACGGTGGAAAGCTCCCATCCCTTGTCTTGCATTTTCTTCATAAATGACACTATTGAGCTACTCTTCTCTACGCCCACAAGGGTAGCATCTACCTCTTCTTACTGAGCCAGCGACGTCTGGATCCGCTCCAATCGCAGCTTAAACCAAGAAACCATACCATCAAAAAACTTGTCGGCAACACTCCGCGAGATCTCGTCACGAGAACTTTGAAGCTTTCTCTTTTTCAGCAAGGAACTTTTGCAAGTCCGCCTCGTTTTGCTTCTCGAGAGACTCGTTCTACGCCTGGAGGGCGGCAACCTACTTACGAAGCCGAGAAGCTTCTGCCACCTCACCCCCAAAGGCTTCAATGGTGCCTTCAAGTTGAGAACACCTCTCTTTAAGGAGCCGATTCTCCTCTTTGACCTTTTTGAGCTCCTCGATCTTGGCGCATACAACATCCAACATCATCTCTTCTTGAAAATAATCATTGTCGTATGTCGCAAATGCAGACATATATTTTCCCAGACCCTGCACCAGAACTTACCATTAAAAAAAAACAAACAAACGCGCAACAAAATGAAGTAAAAACACAATAAAAACAAATGTGTGCATACCCGAACTATCATATGATTTGCCGAGGATATCGACTCCGCCAACTTCAGCTTTCGTAGAGGTTTGCCCCCCCTCGGGTTCTCTCTACATTTCCAGATCAGCTTAGCAGTGAATTCGCGATCGAGCATCGCCGGAGTAGCTCCATCCCACTTCACGCTAAAGTGATTAAAGTTGTAGTCGAAGAACTCCTCTTTCTGCTTGGGCTCGGCAGGAGCACTTGGACCGGCACCATCAACACCTGGAGCACCATCACCTTCTGGGGAGGCAGAACCCTTGGGTGGAAGTTTGGCTTCCTGACGAGCCACAGTGGTTTCTTCGGTCCTTGAACGACCTGCACCTTCTGTGTCCTGGACCCTAGGACTCTGAGGTATGTTGGCCCGGGGTGGCGAGAGAACAGCCTCGCGACATCTCACGGCAGCATCAGGGGGACCCCCATCATCCCCGCCTTCGGCTTGAGAGGAAGTTCCTAAGAACACTTCGCCTTGAGGGTCCCTCGCAGCCTTCTCGGCCCTAGCTCGCCTCAACCTTTCCAGCGCTGCTGTCCTGGAGAAACTAAAAAAAAAGAAGAAAGCAAAATGTTAAAAAAAAATCATCTCGGCGCATAAATCAAAACACAAAGCGAGAATAAAGATTTACCTCGCAAGAGTCTCATTCTCTGCAGCCAGCTCGGCCTCGTCAGAATCCACCAAAATAGGTGGATCTCGAGAAGTTGTCCTCCTCCGCTTTGCAGGGGAATTCGCAGGAATATCTGCCCGCTTCGCCGGAGCCGCCTTTCTCCTCTTTTGGCCGGCTCCTTCGGACCTCGTCTGCGAAAACCTCTTAGCGGCTAAAAATATCAAAAAACATGCTAATAAGGTGCTACTCTCCGAAGAATAATCAAAACAAGAATTACTTCGATCTGAATACGTACCTGCTCTCGAAAATTTGGCCCCCTTCTCGGCCGGCTCGGCCAACTTCCTCTTCTTCTCGGCGGCTCCCTTCATCTCCTTCTCAGGCCATTGTTGCTGGCTCAAGTTGCACAGCTTCATGATGTCAACATCAAAGCCAAACGGTTCTCCCCAAGGCTGATTTGCACTAAAATAAGAGAGACAACAAGCACGTCAAGCATCTCAAGATTGGCTAAGTATGAAAAAGAGGAGGAAACCGAAGTTCAGTTCGGCTTACCAGCTTCGATTTCCAAACTCGGAATAATTGAAGTTCGGAGCAGTTGATAGAGGCCTCATTGATCTTCACGAAGAAGAAGTATCTGTCCCACTCATGGACTTTGCTCGTCGGACCTCCACAGGCGATCTCATGCCTTATGGTGGTGTAGAAATGACGCCACGGTCCTGAAGTGCTCCACCTCCCGGGCTTCAAAATCGAGATCCTCTTGAAAATATCCCAGTTGAAAGGAACCTCCACCGCTCGAGTTACTGCCAGCCTGGAAATCAGATGCCTAATCACGGCATGTAGAAGCTGGCCGAGGGGTACCTTCCTCCTTTCACAGTAACGAAGAAGGACTGGCGACAGCGGGAAACTCAAGCCGAACTCGGCGAAGTGACACTCATACGAGCAGAAATAACCTTCCGGCGGTGATGTCACTCTCTCGTGTACTTGCGGCAGGAGCACCTCGACTCTGGCAGGGAAATTGCATTGTTGCCTCAGCTCCTGAAGCCTGTCGGCCATCATCCAGGTCCGGCCGTCTTTTATCATGTCTCCTTTAGGCAAATCACTCATTGGCATCGCTATCTTCCGAGGAAGACCTTCGATTCGGCCGACTAGCTCGGGACCATCTGATTCCATCTCAGAATCTACGTCAGGGTGGTCCGGCGAAATCTCGTCCCGATAACCTGAAGACCCCTCAGAATTAGAGGGAGAAGAAGGCACTGGGCTAACTCAGGCTCGCCTCGCGGCAAGAGAAAGCTCATCATCATAGAAGGAGGAATTTTGCGATGAAGTCAGACATTTTTCTAGAAATAAATTTCTGAGCGAATTACGGAAGGAAATGAAAAATCGGCGAGTAAGAAAGAAAGATTATTGCAGAAAAAAGAGGATTTTGCAAAGCAGAAGAAAGTAAAATTTTCTGAAGAAAGAAGACAAAGAGATAAAAACTAAGTAATAAAATCTGAAGGAAATATCAACAGTTTTCTAAAAGGACGCGTGTCGAGATTCGCACAATCTCCGCGTCTGGCAAACCTTTTGCCTTTCCCGCTTAAAGCAAAACCCTAATGGGTCAGAATATTTAATAATTTATTCAGAGGAAGCGCCACGTGACAAATCTACTTAAAATCGGGCCGAGGTGGCCATCGCGGAGAAACGCTTTTGACAAGCTAACCCGCTTAACTTCATGAAGTCCGCCGACCTAATTTACAATCAATCTTGCTGAACTGGGGGGAGGGGGACTTACTGTTAGAGAGAAAATGAACACATTTCCTAAAAAAGCTTTCTCTAGCAATAACCTAAGCCCATCAAGACCAGGAAGGCTGCGCTGACGTAGCACTGAAAAGGAAAATTCCTAGAGATAATCTTCGAAGTCCGGAAGCATCAGATTAACTCGAAAGATAAATGAGAATTTTCATATTCTTTGGAGAATAAAGGATATTTCTATATCGCAAATATGAAAATATTCACAAAAGGGAAAAGGAAAAGGAGTTCAGAGCAACCGACCTCCTATCCCTATAAATAAGAAGATCCCAAAGCTGAAGAAACCAACTCATACAATCTAGAGAACAGTAAAGTTAAAAGCAAGAACTCCAACGCTTTCTAGTTTACTTCACAAACACATTCTTTTCATCTCGGCATAACCTCCCGATTAAAATTATCACTTTGTAATCGCTTCGTTTTACAGTTATTAATAAAAAAATTTATTTTTCAAAACTCACAACTGTTAATAAAATTTTTAGCAGTGATTTTCCAGTTCAACTATCTTATTTTTATCTTGACTCAGATTAAATTATAAGATGAAAATTGAGCGGTCAACGACAAGAACTACACTACTCATATCAAAGGGTAGAAACGTCATTGCAAGACATTGTGTGCTTCGTTCGCTTTGAAGCGGCACGATGAAACAAGTTGACGCCATGACACGTAAGCGCTTAGTAGCCTCTACTTGAGAACAACAGACTCATTTAGCCACCGTTCGATTAAAATAGCTACTCAATCTCAACCCTTTATTACAATCAACGATAAAAAAGAAACTCAATTAGTTTTTATTTTATCGTTTTTTTTTTTCGGTTATCCTCTCATTGTCTTCTTCCTGGTATAAGACTTAAGAATTTAGAGGGTTTTTAATATTCGATTTCGCTGATGGATTATCGTAGTAGTTTCTATTCTCATGGTGTCTTCCAAGAAATCACCCAGTATAAAGTCGCCGACGCGTTGAGTTTGAGTTTAAGGGTGTTCAAATTTCAAGCTTTCTCAGGAAAATTTTGAGCTTTCTTTGTTCTTCGATTCTTCTCTTCTGGGATTTAAGATTAGATTACTCAGTTATATGGCTTACGCTCGTGGCTTCGCTACCTTAACCTTCTCGCCGCCGAATTTTCTCCGACGACTCCGTTTATCCCGTCCCCGACTTCATCGAAACCACAGCGCGAAGCCGCCCAGTTCACGAATCAGCTGCAATCTGAAATTCAACTACGCCGCCGGAAAATTCCGCGAGCTCGGTCTATCCCGTTCCGTGGAGCTAGACCAATTCATCACAAGCGGAGAAGAAAACGAAGCAGACGAAATCGGGCAAGGGTTTTTCGAGGCGATTGAGGAATTGGAGAGGATGACCAGAGAGCCATCGGATATTCTCGAGGAGATGAACCATCGGTTGTCCTCTCGAGAGCTTCAGCTGATGCTTGTCTACTTCGCGCAAGAAGGTAGAGACTCTTGGTGCGCTCTCGAAGTGTTTGAGTGGCTGAAGAAGGAGAATAGGGTCGATGAAGAGATGATGGAGCTGATGGTTTCGATCATGTGCGGATGGGTTAAGAAGCTGATACAAGAAGAGTGTGATGCAGGGCAAGTGTTCGACCTATTGATTGAGATGGATTGTGTTGGGTTGAAACCTGGTTTTAGCATGATGGAGAAAGTGATTGCTCTGTATTGTGAGATGGAGAAGAAAGAAAGTGCGGTTTTGTTTGTCAAGGAGGCTTTAAGAAGAAGAGATACTACTGGTTACAGTGTTGTTGGCTCTGAAAGTAGAAAAGGAGGACCAAGTGGTTATCTTGCTTGGAAAATGATGGTAAATTATCAAACTTTAACCAGTGGGTATCTTTATTTGAGTATGTTGAACTTGAAATTCTCAAACTTTATTTGAGTAATCGATTGTCGAAATTTGGTTGGAATTGGTTAAGATGATTATAGCTATGCTTTCTTGTTACTTGTAGGTTTTGGGTCTAGCAATGTTGATGTGGTTGTGTGCTTTTGTTTCTATTTAGGTTGATGGAGAGTATAAGAAGGCTGTTGATTTGGTTGTTGACTTGAGACACTCAGGGCTAAAGCCAGAAGCTTACAGCTATCTGATTGCGATGACAGCCATTGTGAAAGAGCTTAACAGCCTTGGGAAAGCCTTGCGTGAGTTGAAACGCTTTACACGGGCTGGTCTCGTCGCTGAGGTCGATGATCAGGATAGGTTACTCATCGAGGAGTACCAAACAGAGCTCGTATCCCGTGGACTGGAGCTAGCCGCTTGGGCGATTCAGGAAGGACAGCAGAACGATTCCATCGCTGGTGCGGTCCACGAGAGACTCCTCGCTATGTACATATGCGCGGGACGTGGACCAGAAGCAGAGAGACAGCTCTGGGAGATGAAGTTTGCAGGGAGAGAACCTGAAGCTGACCTCCACGACATTGTAATGGCGATCTGCGCTTCACAGAGAGAGGCCGATGCGGTATCGCGGCTTGTGACGCGGGTTGAGTTCATGGAGTCCAAGAGGAAGAAGAAGAGTTTGTCATGGTTGCTCAGAGGGTATGTGAAAGGAGGGCACTTTGAAGAGGCTGCAGAGACATTGATGACGATGGTGGACTCTGGTTTGTATCCGGAGTATATTGATCGAGTGGCTGTGATGCAAGGGATGACGAAGAAGATCCAACGGCCGAGAGATGTTGAAGCGTATATGGGTCTGTGCAAGAGGCTGTTTGATGCTGGTTTGGTAGGACCTTGTCTTGTGTATATGTACATGGACAAACATAAGTTGTGGATAGTGAAGATGATGTGAAGGAAGGATGAATATAGAAAGAGGTGAGACTGAAGTTTAAAGACTCTATCTCAGCTGGAAGGTTCGATGTCTGCTATTTTTGGGTATATAAAAGTATCTGTATGTATGTAATACGTATATATATATATCCGTAAGGAAAAAAACCTTAATGTATCTGTTTACGAAAGCTCAAATTCAACAAAGACCATACAACACATATAAGAAAGGGATCATAAAGAAACAGATTTAAGTACCCCAAAAAAAGTACTCATTAAGAGTAATAAGTAATAATATAGCGACATTGTCTACAAAAACCAAGTAAAAAAAAGAGAGCTAAGCTGTAAGAAAAAGCCACATCCTTAGTTTTGTCTTTGCTGGATTTGAGCCAAACTTGGAAGATACATGAAAATAGATGGAAGCCATGTTTTGTCCGTAGAAAATTCTCGTGATATCGTCCACCCTGCCTTGTTGGAAGATTCTATATAAGCAATTTGTCTGTAATATTCATCGTCTTCTCCAAGAATGAACACCTTGTTCTCGCTGGTCGTATCATAACTTAAATTGGCACACAAGGCCACTTTCTTCTCTTGGTCGATTAATAGATTTGACTAAACATCATAACAAAGAGGTGGAGTGTGTAACTCCGCCGTAAATAACTTGCTCCACGACAAGGCAGCTTCATCATCGATTTTATTGGTCACCCACATCTCAATCATTGAGAAACCATATCTCAGACCTAACCCTGTATCAAAAAACACAGAGAGTTGTTCTTCTCTTCCAACAACTGACAGAGCTTCGAAAGATAAATGATTCAACTTCGGAAGAGACAGAAGCTCAAATCTCTCTTTTGTAAAATCAAAGCAGAGTAAATAGAAGACATTTGAATCGACAACAATCCAGTAAGTATTTCCCTTCAGTGAAACCCTTTTTTTCCCCATAGGGAGCACTTGGGTTTGACTACGTTTAAACCCCTCCAAGAATTAGAGCAAGACTCATAGATTTCCAACGGATCTTTTGTTCCGAAACTCAAGATTTTGTAGCTATGGCAACTTTTGTTCCTTTGGTATCCTAGAGAGAACTTAGAGTCTCTCACGTTATCTGTTTTGAGTTGGATCCACGTCGTTTCCCCCAAATATGGATTCCAAACCACGAGTCTATTGTTCTTGGTGGTGCATAGCAACAATCCGTTACAATGAAACACTTTGGCTATATCGACTTCTTCTGCTGAACTAGGATGTGATGAATCCTTTAGGCTAAGTGTATCTTTAAACCATTAGTAAAAAACCTGGCTATAGCCACTATATCTTTCGTGATTAACGCAAAAATACCATGGCTATATGGTCCTATAGCCACGAAAAGTCACATGAAAAAACCGTGGTTATATGATCATGATTAATTTATTTCGTGGCATTTCGTGGCTGGTAATTTTCGTGTCTACATAACCACGAATTAGTCACTGTTTTCGTGATAAAATTAGTTACGAATTAGTCACACAATTATCCGTGTCTATATAGCCACGACATATTCGTGGCTATTTTGTGACTAGTTTAGCCAACCGTGGCTACATAATAAAAATGAGAAAAAAAATATTTTTGAATTTTAATAATAAAAACCTATATCTTTAAGCAACAATAAAATCATGTTGCTAAACCATCATTTAAAATACGAAAATGCAATAATCAATCAAAATATTATACATCAAAAAGTGTTGGAACATAGCATAAAAGTTTAACAAATACTTAAACATTCAAAAACATTAAAAAAAACTAATCCACTAATAAATCAGCACACAACTCATCTAGTGTACGTTGTTGTTGACTTGGGTTTGCGGTGTTAGCAGGATTTGTGGAGGCAACAGCAGCAGCACGAGGCGGAGAGGCATGAACAGCAGTAGTAGAAAGCGGAGTGGTACCAACATTTTGTAGGAATGCATTTAGTATGACCACCATTTCATTCTTGAGCGTGGCCGACTCTTCCTTGAACTCAACCCTCATTGCCACCACATCTTCCTTGAGCGTTTCAACATTGCTGTTGACAGCTTTTGAATTAGCCTCCAAACCGGAGATACGCATGTCCATATCTATGGTGTGTGTATGAGATTCATGGACTGACTCGGCCGGAGTGAAATCTCGAAGCTGCACACTGCCTATTCCGTATACTCTCCCTCGCCTTGTCTTGCTGCGCTGTAAAAAGAAACAAACATACAAAGTCAGAGACAACACAGTCTAAAAACACATTTTTAAACACTACAAAATAGCAACTCGAGTTCTTATTCTCACAAGTCGAGACGAATCACAACACACACAGGGCTAACATAAAGAGTCAAAACGAATCACCACACAAACAAGTCGAAACGAGTCACACCACAAACACAAAACCATTATAGCCAACAAGTCGAGCCACAACACAAACCCAAAACCATTTCCCTAACTATCATCAAACAGCGAGTAAAGCAATGAATGAGATATTGTCGAGTACCTTGAGTAATTCTTGGTTAAGGAGAATGCGAGTAGGAGTTGAAGATGTTGTTCGAATGAATTTGCGGAACAGAGGGGTCTACACCGAACCTGAGATAAGAAGAACTACAATCAGAGATGACAATACATTATAAGAAGAAATAAGAGGACTCGATTTTGTAGAGAACTTACCATAAAGCGCCATTGAGTTTCCTTAGATGGAGGTATGGCTGAAGCTCTCTGGAGGGAACATTCAATAATGCTTTTAGGATCATATGGTTGTAGTTATTAGCACCTGAAGATGCAGCGCTTGGTAGCATGGCAGGACCACTTGTAGATCCAGCAGCTCCTGGTGGCGAGTGAGGACCTGAAGAGCTTCTAGACCTTACAGCTCCTGGTGGTATGGAGTTAACTCTATTGATGGAGGAGCAACGTTGAGATCGACACTCACTGAGCGTATCCAATATTCCTTTAAGATGAGAACCATAGACGAATGCTTTGCAGATTTACTAAAGTGCTTCTCCATGAATCCTCGATCTTTGGATAAAGCGTTCCATCGTTTGCACGTAGATCATAATCGTTTCAAAGACATATCTGGAACCCTAGATAGTATTTCCTCCACCAAACAGGCCCGGCCCAAAGAAGATGGGCAGAGGTGCGATAGCTCAGGGGCTTTCAACATTTATATAGAAAACCTTTGTAAAAAGGGCCCAATTATTTATTTTTTCTTCATTAAATGGCCTAATTTTTTGTTTTCTTTGCTACTAAAGAGCCTAATTTTGTTTTAAAAATTAGAAAAAGCATAGTTTAATTCTAAACTAAACCCAAATTCTTTAAAAAAAATCAGTTGTAATTTTAATAAAGGGCCCAGAAAAATTTATCCCTAGAGACCTGACTTTTACTGGCTCGGGGCTGCCACCAAATCTGTCGGAAGATCAGACATCATCATCGTTTTTTTCTTCTTCTTCTTGTGATCTCCCAAAGGAAGAAGAAAGCAACTTCTGCCTTAGAAACCGAAATTAAGGTTTTAAGTTTTCCACGGGTTGCCCTAAACTAATATACAAAAAAAACGCTTTCCATTTCTTATGTGGATTCTGTTTACTTTTTTTATTTTTCTTTCCAATTAACATATATGGTTTCACATAAAAATGTCTAACTACCAAAAACATAAAATAAAAAATTATCATAATTTTTTTTAACATATATATTTCACATGGGTAATTTATTTAAATTTAGAAAACTATTGGAATTAAATTATTATATGAATATGTGATATTACAAAATGATTAGAGCAAAAAAATTAAGATAAAATTGTTATTTAAAACTATTAATATTACAAAAATGATATTCATAAACAATTAACAAAAAAAAATCATATAAAACTTGATATTTAACCTAACTTTTTGGAAATTCAATACAAAAATTATAATTAACAAAAAATGATGCTTTATGCTAATTACTAAAAAAATAATATAAAAAAATTTAACTAACAAAAAAATAAAAATTATTTTTTACAACATGTCAATACAATTAAAATAAAAATTAATATCAGAAAGGTTAAATAAACAAAGATTTTTTTAAAAGAAACTAACTTGATATATGCTAATGTTCCAGATCAAATTGTGGATTGTTTACAAGGGGTGTGTGTTCGTCCGGGTAACGGAGCTGAGTCTCCAGGTTTCATTCTCCAGGGGATAAGTGGTATGTGATCTCGGAGCGAAAGTCTGGTTGTGTCCTGCGCATACTAGAAACAGGTGAGTCGAGCCTGCGGGAGAGCCGTAAAGGATTTTTTTTCCCGAAGGTTCTCTGACGTTTAAATTAGATAACGCCCCATTATGAGCAAATACTCAAAAGGGAGAATGAGTGATGGTGGTGTTATGGTTTGGGTATCATGCCCGAGGATTGTGGTACTTGTTTGTTGTTTGGTGAGGGCGGGCGTATGATAGATGGACCATTGGGAGAGTGGAGTTAGAGCTCTCTCCCGATGGGGGTTAAAGCAGAGGGTTAAGGAGAAAGCGAATACTTATTTCGGTAGATGTTTCTTCCGAAGAAAGAACGTTAAGTGTATCCCTTTCAGTCATGTTGTGAGGCTGGGGCGACGAGGTGAGCTCCGGGAAACCTAGATGATCATCTCCTCCTCAATGACCTCTCTTCTTCTTACTTTGTCTCGTTCGTCTCTCTCTTAGTATCTCAAAACCGGATCCGGATGCCCCTCCTCTTCGTGGCTGACCCTTATTCCCTCTTTATACTCTTTTCGTCCTATTATGTCCTATCGGTGTGGCGTATGGCGAGAGCAGGTGAATTAGCGGTCAACAGCTAATTATTTAACAAAATCAATATAAAAATGTAATATAAAAAAATTATTACCAAAAAAATTATTAGTAATTTTATATAAAGTAACAAAAACAAAACAAAATTGGAAAATAAAGATAGTTTGAAATTTACTTTCTGAAAATATATAATTTTTAAAATATTGGCATCGACAATAAATAATCATTTGAAGTTGCAATATATTATACGAGTTTCTAAAATAAACATATTATTTAAATTTACAAAGACTAATATCTTGACTGCGTCTGGTTTAAAAAACTAACAAACAAAAAATTACACAAGTAACTTTACAATCAAAATATAACAAGTAGTAAAATATAATTTTTATACATAGCTACTACTTATAACATAACCAACATAAATATCATATGAGTAACATCATAGAACCAATAACACTGAATTTAAATATGGATTTTAAAATTATAGAACCAATAACACTGAATATTAAAATTATAAAACCAATAACCCCCATCAAGAACTTAGTAAGAAAATCACTCTCTAATCAAATGTATAAACATCGAAGTTAGATAATGTCATAGATATCATTATTATGATTTTACTTAATAAAATTTATAATTTTATAAATAAAAAATAGAAAAACTATACATTATATTTTATTTTTTATATAATAATTTTTTTTTATAAATATATATTATAGTTTTGATAGTTTAAAAAATATTCTAAAAAATAATTAAAGTCAACTATTAATACAGATTTACAGGTAGTATGGATTAAAAAACCTATTAACTAAATAAGTCAATAACTTTTTTTTTTTGTTTTTTTTTTGAACTTTAAGCCGATAACTTTGCCACTTTGATAATACAATAATTAGTCACGTACTTTACTTATGAAATTGTCTTTTTGACATTTTCTGCTTGTGTGAGGGGAAAAAAGGTATACAATTAGATTTGTTTTATTCGTACGAGTTACAGAAGTCTCTTATTGCATCGTTTGGAAAACTTTAATTAATTTTTAATTTACTTGATGATTCCGTCAATCTATTTCAACATTCTCTCTTCCATTAACCGAACACGTTGTTGTCATTTTCATTTGTAGATCTATTGTATTCAAAAACTTGTTTAAGGTCGATAATGTAAATGGGCCAATGTATAATATTTAAATCTAGTGGGCCCAAATGAAAGTCATTGAGAACTTCTTGCTTGGGTTTTCTGGAATCAAGTGAATCTGAAGGTGAAGCAAGCCGAAGGAAAAAGAATCATCCATCACAAGAGGTAAAATTGTAATGGAGGTCGAAGCTCCAACAATGGCAGAATCCACCATTAAGCTTACAGTCAAATTCGGAGGCAATTCAATACCACTCTCGGTATCATCAGATGTTACTGTCAAAGACCTCAAGTCTCTTCTCCAACCAATCACCAACGTTCTTCCTCGTGGCCAGAAACTCATCTTCAAAGGTTTCTGATTTCAATTCGAATAATCTCTTCACTAATCGAGCTAAATCTTTGTAATGGGTCTTATCCAAAATTCGATTTTGTTGTTTCCCTGAAAAAAAAAGGTAAGGTTTTGGTGGAGACGTCGACTTTGAAGCAATCAAAGGTGGGCGATGGAGCGAAAATCATGTTAATGGCTTCTCAAGGTCTGCATCAAGGGGTAAGTGTTCTTCTTTATATGATTCAATCATCTTTAATTGCTATTTAGGAGAAAGATATTTAGGAAAAATTGGATTCTTGCTCTGTAGTAGGATCAATCTAATTGAGGAAACATCAACTTGTTCGAGATGTGTTAATGTTTGTGGTGGTATTCAAAAATTGAGTAGGAAGGTCCAGTGCTTAAGGAAGCTAGTACAAGGCCAATCTCTAGAACTGTTGTATCTGATAAAGCAGATCAGACGAAACCTGGTCTACTCGTTGACAAGAACCGCACTGATCGATGGAAAGCCACAGGAGTCATTGCTTTAGCTCAAGCCTATTTGAAGGTATATAGAATAAAGTCTCACGTGTTCGTTATTGTGGTTTTGGTTTGGATTTAATCTTTCATTTGGCATTGGAGATAGGACAAATTCTTCGTTAGTAAGCTAAAAATTGTTTCTTTTGTTGTGGAAATAGGAAATACCGGAAGAAGTGTGGGACTGTGGATCCGGAGTCAGAGTACTAGACATTAGTGAAAACTTCATTCGAGAAGTACCTGCAAAAATCAGCTCTTTTGGTTCTATGCAGGTGATAAATACATGGATTCATGTATATTTCAAATCTTTTTTTGTCTATTGAAGTTTGTATATGGAGAATGATATGAGTAGTGCCTTTATGTAGAAATTGTTCCTTCAAGGGAACGGCCTGTCCGATGAATCCATTCAATGGGAAGGGATTGCATCTCTGAAACGTCTCATGCTTCTCTCCATCAGTCATAACAAGTAAGTTTTTCGCTTTCACTCTCGGAACTTTTCTTGTACTTCTTAGTAGATGTAAGAGACGCCTTCAATGGTAGCATTATGCAAGAATTGTTCTACTCGCCAAACTTAACTTCAGAATTGATTTGAAGCGTAAACTGTAATCACTAGACAAAACATTTATAGTAGTTGTGAACATGAGAATGAGGTTTTTGTTTGTTTTGCAGTCTAACTGTCCTGCCATCAGCACTAGGTTCGTTGACGTCTCTCAGGCAACTTGATGTCGCCAACAACAAGTTGACAAGTATACCCAATGAGATAGGGCTTTTGACGCAGCTCGAGATCTTCAAAGCCAACAATAACAGGCAAATTCAGCTTTACACATCTTTTTAAGTGATCCAATAAAAGACAAAAAGTTAACATTTTTTGCATATTGATTATAACATCTTCCTGCTGCAGAATAGCTAGCATTCCTGAGAGCATTGGAAACTGCTCCTTCCTCATGGAGGTAAGAAAAAAAAAGAGATTTATGTCAAGACCTTAAAGACCTTTTCTTGACAAATAACAATAGTGAGTAAATTTCAGGCTGATCTTTCAGCAAATATTCTATCAGAACTTCCAGAGACATTCACCAAACTGCGTAATCTAAAGGTAAAAAAAAACTCGAATCACCTTTCGCTACTCTTGTTCCATGACAGAGGCTGAGTAGTGTTTTTGGTGTGTCTTCAGACGCTGGAGCTGAACAACACGGGAGTAAAGACGCTGCCATCGGTTTTATTCAAGATGTGTTTGCAGCTCTCAACATTAGGACTCCATAACACTGAGATAACCGTTGAATCTCTCCGCCAGGTTTTGTTTCATTTAGTCTCATGTTTGAGTTCTTCTTTCTTCGTTTCTAGAGCCCGAATCAAAAGAGTGTTTCGGATTGATGTGGCAGTTGGAAGGATGGGATGAGTTTGATGAGAGAAGACGTACGAAGCATCAGAAGCAGCTTGATTTTCGGGTTGTTGGGTCTGGTGAGTTCGACGAAGGCGCTGACAAATCTTGGTGATGGAGTCGGCACAAACTCTTGCGTTCCCTTTAATGACTGAATATATGTATTTACTCTGTTTTCGAATCCTATCATCATTGCTACTTGTTCCTTCCTTATACAATTTTATCAGTATTGCACTTTTAAGCAACCATCTGAAAGAGGTTTCCAAGTGTTTTACTTGAGTTTCTCTAATTGACCGAATATATATTTACACTCTCTCAGCATAATCAGATACTAACATAGTCATAATCTGTCTGTTCAATTCTCTGTCTCCATACAGCAATAGCACTTGCACCTTTGGATCATGATCAAAGTATATGGAGTGCAGGGAATCAAATCGGTCTGGTAACATACTAAAACCCCGACTAGATTGGCCCAGTCTCACCTAGGGTATCTGCGTCTTTAACTCTTCTCTTTATATATTACCTTGCGCGGCAAGAAAAGCATATACTAGTCGGAGGTCTTTAACAAAAACGAAACCTCGCCAGAGATCGCAACTCTCTGAAACTCAATCATCTAAATCTATTCTTATTCTACAAGTGAATTAGGGTTTAGTGATTTTCTCCCTGAAATTGGGTGATCTGGAGATGTCTTCCAGAACTAGGGCAGAGAAGAAGAAGCAATCGTTGGAGCCACAGTCGTTGATCCCGTTGCAGGATGAGCAATCCTCAGAACCACTTTCTGTGTTTACGTCACTTCCCGAAGACGTCATCGTTGACATCTTAGCGCGTGTATCGACATTCCACTATCCAATTCTCTCCCTCGTCTCAAAACACTTCCGATCACTCGTTGAGTCGCCTGAGATATACGTGAGGCGATCTTTGTTGGGCTGCACCGAACACTTTCTCTATGCTCTCATCTATGACATCGACATCGGTGTCTACCGTTGGTATGTTCTCCGTCGGAAAGCCAATGGCAATAGACGCTTGGTGCTTATCCCTTCACTGCCCGCTGTGTCTCGCTATGGAAGCTTTGTCGCAGTGGGCTCGAGGATATACGTGTTTAATGGGGTTAACAATGAAGATAGCACAACCATCGACTGTAGATCTCACACGGTTCAACTTCTCCCAAACATACCTGTGAGCATGTGTGATTCGATGGCTGACATCATCGAGAGGAGAATCTACATAATTGGAGATAGCCGTTGTGATGATGGCTGGAAGAAGGCGATGGTGGTGTTCAATACAGAAACAAAAAAGTGGGAGGAGCCTGCGATGAAAAAGATAGGCATCGAGCTACGTGACAGTCACGTATTACCATCGCTGTGTGGTGATGGCTGGTAAGCTGTACATGAGGGATTCCAATAACAGCTATGTTTACGATCCAAAGAAAGATAAATGGGAAACGGACAAGATGCTGAATAAAAAGAAGTGGGAGAATGCGTGTGTCGTCGATGACGTATTGTACTACTTTGATTGTGGTGAGAACATTTTAAGAAGGTATGATGCAACAGAGAGATGTTGGGGAGTGGTGAATGGTTTGGAAGAACTGTTGGCTAAGACAAGACTTGTACTGTGGTCAAAGACTGTGAGTTATGGTGGGAGACTGGCTTTGTTTTTTAACCCTAGAGACAGACGAGGAACCATGTATTCAGCCGAAGGAAAAACAAGACATATTTGGTGTGCGGAGATTTCGCTGGAAAGACGTCAAGGAGGAGAGATTTGGGGTAAAGTTGAGTGGTGTGATCATGTTAAAGTTTCTGACGATTTATACATGACGAAAGCTCTAGCTGTTATGGTTTAATTTGAAGCTGGAACTCTCTTTCTTAGTATAACTTGTGTGATGATATAAAGTTGAGTGGCGTGATCATGTTTTGACTGGAAAAATTGTCTTGGTGAAACATCTAGCTGTTATTGTTTGATGCAATCAACTCTCATTCATATACCTTTATGTTTTGCTTTTTCATCATCCTAAATCCCTTTTTTTTGAGGAAAATTTAATAGTTTACTTTGAAACAAAGTGTAGTAACGAATGCTATAGACTTCACCTTAGAATTCTTCATATGGTTCTCTGTTTTAGTTTGTTTCTATATATTTGTTTTACGTAAGTAATCGATTGTAGTGAACAAAAGGTGAATCGTTTCTAGTGAGGACATTGCCGATAAATAACTCAGGAAAGCAAAAAGTAATTAAACACTGAGCTACGTAATAACAGCTTTGTTTACGATCCAAAAGACGATGCTGAATTTAAAGGATTCGTACAATGCGTGTTTGGTTGATGACGTATTGTACCACTACGACTGTGTTGAGTCTTAAGAGCATATGATCCAAAGGAGAGGTGTTGGGGAGTGGTGAAAGGTTTATGAAAATTCTTGGCGAAAACAAAACTTGCATGGTTAAGCTCGCATTGTTCGGCTTTGTTTTTTTTCCTGTGAGTGACCCTTCTTCACTTTTCAAACTAAACTGAAGAAAAGCAAAACAAAATTGGGTTATTATTTGGTTCCGTGTTCCAAAAAAATTTATACAAAAAATCAAAAACTGAAAATCTTAATGACCAGACTGTAACATATCTGCTTTTTTTTCATTGAAAGGGAGATTTAAGGTAAATTTGAGTATATATATTTACGAGATTCACCCATCTTGCAATAACCAACCAGCCCTATAGTATTTTCTTCGTTCCATCTGTGCAAAAGAACGATGAAAGAGGAGAAAAATACTTACAATCAATTTACTTGTCTAGAAAGTAAGAACAGAAAAAAAAAAAAGATGCTCGTGAGGAGCTTGGAGAGAAAATAATGAAAAATGAAGTGAATTGTTATTTTGATGATTTGAATGACTCTTAAATACACACAACAATCACTGCCCAATAATCACAATATAAGATCAAACATAAATCACCATAAACTTTTTGTACTCAGGGTGTATTCAAAATAGAATTTAGAGTAATTTATTATATTAAAAGAGAATCCACTTTAGAAGATTAACTTTTACTTAATGTGTTATTTACTTAATATGCCATTGGACTTCTATTAGTTATATAAAAATTTATTAAATCCATTATTCTCATCAAATTATCAAAAGCTTAAATTTTTGTTACCTTTCTCATTATGGGCCTAATATTTTGTTATCCTTCTTATTAAAAGGCCCATTTTGTTTAAAATTTTTGAGCCACCTTATTTTCTTTGTTTTTAATCCGAAATTTATAAAAATATATATAGAAAATGACAAAACAAAATTAAAAAGAATATATTTTAGAGTCTAAATTTTATTTTACCGAAAAACCTTAAAATATGTTTGATCAACAATTATTTATATAATATTAATTATTTAATATAAGAAATTTCAATTTCAATTTTGTTTTGCTAAATTTGAAGAAAAATAAAATAAAGAATAAGATTATAAAAGGAATAAAAATGAAAAAGGAGAAGAAAAGAGAGAAAAAAACATAGAAAAATTGAAATTTAAAAACAAACAAAATGAATAAGCACAAAAAATTACAGAAAAAGAACGAAAAAGGAAAATAAGGAAGAATAAAAAAATAATAGAAAAGAAAAACAGAAAAAAACAGAAAAAAAAATCATTAAAAATAAGAAGAGAGGAAGAATGAAAAAGAATAACGTACAAGAAGAACTTAAAAAAAAGATAAAGAAGAGAAAAAGAAGAAGAACATTAATAAAGATTTAGAAAAAGACGAAGAACAACAACAAAAGAATAATAATAAATAAGATAAAAAAGAAGAAGAATATTAATATATTATCTTTTTATTAAAAATCAAACACATTTTTATGATATAATATTTTGACTAAAAAACATGAATACGATTAACAAAAAGATAATTAATCGTATTTTATAACATCTTAGCATTATTTGTAGATTAACTATTTTGATTACAATGTTGCAGAACAATAAAATTATATTTTAAAATTATATTTATAAAACTAACATTTTAAAATTAAATTATATAAAAAATTACCTGCGCGGACGCGTAGGTTAGATCCTAGTTTGTATTGAAATCGCAAACTTTCTGTTATTGAAACATAAATTTTAAAAAATTATTTAAAATTCAGTGTTATTAAACTAGTAATTCACTGTTATTGGAAATAATTTAAGTGATTGGATTTGTGATTTGTGATGATTTCATTTTTTTTTACCAAAACTCTTCTAATTGAATCTAGCATTTGAAAAAATTACTTTAAATTCAAGGTTATTGGATTAATTATTTATACAAATTTTTAAAAATTTTACATTAACAGAAAATTAGGATTTCATTGATGAATTATTTTAGCAAATGATTTGAGATGATCTTAGAGGTAATTTAGAGATAAAAAACCTTCTTTTTGGTCAAACTTTTGTTTATATTAAAACTTAACTTCAAAATACAAAAACACGCAGTAGAAGAATACTCTTTGCCAATGAGTAGATGCTACTTGATACAAAAAAAAAGAAGACAGGAAATTAAATGGATAGGCTATACAACTTAAATCAAAGATAAAAACTAGAAGCTTCTTTAAAAGGGCTTATAAGATGATCGTTCTCGAATCGATCAGAGGTTCTTGTGTCATCAAAGACGAGTGAACCATACAAATAGCTTGTGATTTCTTGAATACTGAGCGTTGAAAGATGATCTTCATAAAGACAGCAGCGGACGAGAAGGCAGCAGCTACTGTCGGCATAGCTTTCCACCAGGACATGCTTAAACGGCTGCTGTGAACTGGGTGGTGGTGGAGGAGAATGAAAACCCGATGGTGAATCTTTGAGCAGTCGGGAGGTAGTGGTTGGAAAGCAGAGGATACACTGGTTGTACTGGCCGGTGAAACAGGATTTGAGCTTCTGCCTCCTTGCTGGCGGAGTCTCCCAATTGTCCAGCAAATTCGGAGCTGAGACTTGTCGTAACATGAAAGTCTGGTGCTAAATATCTGATAGATCTGATGGTGAACGGTGTAGATTGGCGACCCTAGCTCTTGTTGTGTGGAAGAGCGCCTGAGCATAAGGCAGTGGTGGATGGTGATGGAGAGCCTTAAAGACCAAAAATATTTGGGAAGGAAGATCCCATAGATTTGGCGGATCCGGTGGATCCGGGGATCGGGAGGGAGAGGAGGGTTCAGCCGCAGTGAGGATAAGATCAGACAGAGGTGAGAGAAAGAGAGCACAGGATCTGGCGGCTCCGGCAAAGAGAAAAGACGGGTCAGGAGCTCAGTCCTCAAAAGCATCATGAAACCCATCGACAAAGACTGCCAGTGAGCTAGATATGCAGATCAAATTCTCACGAGAGAGGAGAGATGGACGGCGAGGGATGAGGAAGGTCAACCGGCGGAGGAGAAGTGGAAGAGCTGCATCTGGAAGGTGGAGTAGAGCGGTGGCGGCAAGGCTCCTTGGGCGTCAGGCCTGGGAGAGAAACTAGGGCTGAACTATGGGAGATAAATGAAACCAATAGATTGAAATACCACCTAATATGATGGTATTTGAGAGAATTTAAAAGGCAATATTTGTTTAAATCATTTTAAAACTTTAAATTCGTTAAAATCTTCATAGATTTGGATTTATCAAAATTATTAATCCAATATACCCCCTAAGTAGTGGGTTTTAAGAAATTTGAAGTGATTTCAAGATGTTTTGATAGAATTTCCTAGTTAAAAATATTAAGAATCCAAATCTCATGATTTTAGGTGGAGTTTGATAAAATTTTGATATCAAATCATAACAATTTCCATAATTCAATCAAATTATCTAAAAATTCATTAAAACTCAAATCCTTCCAATCATTTCAAATATTAAGAGGTTGAATGATATGTAGCTTTTTCACGTTTTAAAAATGTGATTTTATTAAATACATATCATTCACAATATTAAGCACTGAATAAAAAGTGAAAATTAGCACGCTATTTTTCAATTCATCCCGCGCATTTTAAATTTATAACTAGTTTTGAAAAAATCTATTCATCTAATAAATACTAGCTTTTTAGCGTTTTGAATTTATTCGATTTTCAGTTTAGCCGTCCTATTGATTCTGCTAATCCCCCCCCCCCCCCCCCCCCCCCCCCCCCAAACCCACCCCTACATGTTTGTCCCCTCATTACTTCAATTATTTTTTTATCCACTTACCAAATGGATCATCTTATCAAAATGAATGTGATCTACGAGCAATAGCGCGTGGGACTAAATCACCAATGTACATGTCATATTTCGCTTCATCAGTCTGTCTATATAAATGTTGAATTTCTCCGCCAGGTTTTGTTTCATTGAGTCTCATGTTTGAGCTCTTTCTTCGTTTTTGAGCTCGAATCAAGAGAATTTTGGATTAATGTAGCAGTTTGAAAAATTTTGACGAAAGAAGACGTACGAAGCATCAGAAGCAGCTTGATTTTCGGGTTGTTGGGTCTGGTAAGTTCGAAGAAGGCGCTGACAAATCTTGGTGATCCCTGAATATGTATTTACTCTGTTTTCGAATCCCATCATCATGCAACTTGAACCTTCCTTCACCCAAACTTTTTATCAACCATGTAGAAGAGGTTTCCAAGTCTTTGAACTTAAGTTTCTCTACTTGACTGAATATATATTTACTCTCTCAGCATATTCAGATACTAATGACATAGTCAGAAACTCTCTGTTCAATTCTCTTTCTCCATATATACTTAGGGGGTGTATTGAAACTAAAATGTTAGGAAATTTGAAAAGATTTAAGTTTTAATAAAATTTTAGATGATGTTATGTGGATTGGTAAAGTTGATATTATTTGATATTAAAATTATATGAAATTCCACCGAAAAAATGAGATTTGGGTTTTTATATTATTAACTAACAAACTCCACCAAAAATAATTTAAAAGTACTCAATATTTTTTAAAGCCACTATTTAAATTATTTCCAATAACAATAGATTTGATTTAGTTTTTTTATAAATTGTTGATTGAATAACATGTATTTTATATGACTTTAGTTACTTTACATAAATTTCATGTTCAATAACATCAATTTTGGTGAGACATTTAGAAATCATTAATTCAATAATAGAGATTTTTAAAACAACCAACAAATCTTTTGAAATTCTTAATCAAATACATTCCCCTTACCCTCTCAGCATAATTAGATACTAACACACAGTAGTCATAATCTCTCTGTTCAATTATCTGTCTCCATAAAGCAATAACACTTGCAACAACAACAACAACAAAAAAAAACTTGCACCTTTGGATATGGAGTGCAGCGAATCAAATCGGTCTTGTAAGATACTAAAAGCCCGACTAGATTGGCCCAGTTTCACCTAGGGTATCTGCGTCTTTAACTGTTCTCTTTATATATAATAAGATTAGGATGAAGAGGTCTTTAACAAAAACGAAACCTAGCCAGAGATCGGAACTCTCTGAAACATCTATTCTTATTCTAGAAAGTGAATTAGGGTTTCTCTGAACTTGGGTGATATAATTGATCCGGAGATGTCTTCCAGAACTAGGGCAAAGAAGAAGAAGCCACAGTCGTTGATCCTGTCGCTTCCCGAAGACGTCATCGTTGACATCTTAGCGCGTGTATCGAGATTCGACTATCCGATTCTCTCCCTCGTCTCAAAACACTTCCGATCACTCGTTGCTTCGCCTGAGATATACGCGAGGCGATCTTTGTTGGGCTGCACCGAACACTGTCTCTATGCTCTCGCCTATGACAGGGACAACGATGTCTACCGTTGGTATATTCTCCGCCGGAAAGCCAATGGCAATAGCCGCTTCGTGCTTATCCCTTCACTGCCTGCTATGCCTAGCATTGGAAGCATTGTCGCAGTGGGCTCGATGATATATGTGTTTGGCGGGATTAACAAATACAATTTGTCAACGAGTGCGTTAACCATCGATTGTAGATCTCACACGGCGCAACCTCTCACCAGCATACCTGAGCCCATGTTTCATACCATCGCTGATATCATGGACAGAAAAATATATGTAACTGGATATAGCTATTTTGATGATTTTGTATGGAAGAAGGTGATGGTGGTGTTCAATACAGAAACACAAAAGTGGGAGGAGCCTGGGGTTGTAAAGGCAAACATCGAGCTAGGTAACATTCATCATTATTGCTGTGTGGTGATGTCTGGTAAGCTGTACACGAGGGATGATGATAACAGCTATGTTTACGATCCAATGGAAAATAAATGGGAAACAGACGAGATGCTGCATTCAAAGAAGTGGAACAATGCGCATGTCGTCGACGGTGTATTGTACTACTTCGATAGGGTTGAAAACATCATAAGAACGTATGATCCAAAGCAGAGATGTTGGGGAGTGGTGAAGGGTGTGGAAAAATTGTTGTATAAGACGAGATATAAAGGGTGGTCAAAGAGTACTGTGAGTTACGGTGGGAGATCGGCTCTGTTTTTTCCTGAATCAGGTTCAAGTGAGCTTTGGTGTGCGGAGATTTCTCTGGAAAAACGTCAAGGCGGAGAGATTCAGGGTAAAGTTGAGTGGTGTGATCATGTTCTGACTAGGAATTTGTGGTTTAGGAAATCTCTAGCTGTTATGATTTGATGCACAGAGGAACTCTTCATAACTTGTGCTAGTTAGATCTCACCCATCTTTGCAGAAACGAGATCCTGTAGAAATCCTTTATCACAATATAAGATCAAAGATAAATCACGATAAACTTTTTCAACATGTTTTGTCCCCCACACATTACTGCAATTATTTTCTCCACTTAGCAAATGGTTCATCTTATCCAAATGAAAGCGATCTACGAGCAATAGCCCTGGAGACCAAATTACCAATGTATATGTCATATCTGCATCATCAATCATCAGTACCAAATTGCGAAAAATGGACTAAGTTTTTAACGGAAAAGAAAGTTTTTAAAGGACCAATTAATGTATATGAAGGGAGAAGACGTACATATTTACTCTACTCTACAGCTCTTTCAGCATAATCAGATACTAACATAGTATGCCTGTTCCATTCGCTGTCTCCATGATCAAAGTAAGAGTGGATCGTATAATACCTGCATAGGTTTGCTAGATACCAAATTGGTCTTTTTGCCAGTCTCCGTTCTCTAATGCCGTACATACTAAAAGCCCAAATAGATTATGAAACCCACGATTGGCCCATCTTTACCTAGGGTATCTGTTTCTTTAATTGTTCTCTTACATACCTTGGGCGGCAAGACTTCAGAAAAAAAAAAGTCGGTGAGATTTTAGGAGAGGTCATTAACAAAAACGAAAGCTCACAGATCAGAACTCTCTAAAGCGATTACGGTTTTACGTTTTCCACTCTCTCTCTCGTAATTGTTGATTGAGCGTAAAATTAGGGTTTGGTGATTTTCTCTATGAGATTAGGTGATATGATGGATCTGGAGATGTCATCCAAAAGAAGAGCAAAGGACGAGCAATCGTCTGAATCACCATCTCTGATGACGGAACTTCCCAAAGACGTCATCGTTGAAATCATAGCGCGTGTACCGAGAAGTCACTATCCAACACTATCCTTCGTTTCCAAACACTTGGGGTCACTTGTAGTGTCGCCTGACATAGACGCGAGACGATCTTTGTTGGGCCTCACGGAACACTGCCTCTATGTTATCCTTCATAGTGACAAAACCTCTGATTGCCGTTTGTATACTCTCTGCCGGAAAGCCAACGGCAATAACTCTCTGGTCCTAATCCCTTCGCTTCCCGTTATGCCTCGCGTTGGAAGCTTTGTGGCGGTGGGTTCGAGGGTATATGTGTTTGGTGAGATTGACGGTGCCTTAAGAGTCGTCGACTGTAAAACTCACAGGGTGCAACCTCTCTCGAGCATTCCCGTGCCCATGACTCACACAATCGCTAACATCATCGATGGGAGAATCTACGTCATTGGTTGTTATAAAAAGAGGAAGCTGGTGGTGGTGTTCAATACAGAAACACAAACTTGGGAGAAGCCTGTGATGATAAAGGTAGACATTGAGCTAGGCGACGCGTGGCGTGGTTGTGTGGTGATGGATGATAAGCTGTACGCGAGGGATTCTGTTTACGAGCCAAAACGGACGAGATGCTGAATAAAGAGGACTGGAACAATGCCTGTGCCGTCGACGACGTATTGTACTACTTTGACTGTGGTGAGAACAATTTAAGAAGGTATGATCCAACCGAGAGATGTTGGAGAGTGGTGAATGGGTTGGAAGAATTGTTGGCTAAGACAAGACTTGCATGGTGGTCAAAGACCGTGAGTTACGGTGGGAGGCTGGCTTTGTTTTTTGACCCTAGAGAAGACGGAACAACAAGACAGATTTGGTGTGCGGAGATTTCGCTGGAAAGGCGTTATGGAGGAGAGATTTGGGGTGAAGTTGAGTGGTGTGATCATGTTCTGATTTCTGACGATTTATACATGACGAAATCTCTAGCTGTTATGGTTTGAAGCTGGAACTCTCTTTCCTCATAGTACTTGTGTGATGAGAAAAATTTGAGTGGTGTGATCATGTTTGGACTGGAAAAATTGTCTTGATGAAGCATCTAGCTAGCAGCTGTTATGGTTTGATGCAAAAAATCTCCTTATACCTTAAGTTTTGCTTTTTCATCGTCCTCGGAAAATTTTATAGTTTATTTTGAGACAAAGTAGTTACGAATGCTATAGACTTCACCTTAGAGTTCCTGATTTGGTTCTTTGTTTCAGTTTGTTTCTATATTTGTTTTACGTAACTAAGTTGATTCAGAGAATGAACAAAAGGAGAATCGTTTCTAGTGAGGATAATGACTCAGGAAAGCAAAAACTAATTAAACTTTCTTCCATCAAAGAAAATAGAACTGCACACCTGACACCGACGGCGAACAAATGTTTGAAGCATAGAAGAAGTTTTCACTGGGAATATTGGCTTTGATTAGTAACATGAGTTACCATTGATTTAATTTGAGTTAAGAGCATAAATCAAAAATGTTACCAATCAACAGCTAAACTAATTTTTTGTTTTTGAGTTTGAGTTATGGTTGATGTATACTTTTGACTTATTCCTTTGTTAAATTGCTAACTCAAATCAACTTCTTAAGTCACATAAATTATGGTGAGTTAGAATTCAAATTTACCATTTAAAAAAAAATCAATGTTTTTTTTCTTATTTTTGTTGATTATATTTTAAAATTTATATATTTCTTTGAAATAGTATACTAAATTCATGCTATAAAAATGTGATGATTTGAAAGTTGAGCTATCACTATTTATTTTTTTCTTTTTTTTTGTTAATCATATTTTAAATAATTATATATTTCTTTGAAGTATTATACTAAATTTTTATTTCGTCTATGATTTTTAATTTATTTTATATATAGTTGCTTTTAATTACATTGACAACACATACCATTAAAAAATTGAAGTCTGATTTATTTACCGCTATCAAAATTTGTTTTCTGAATTTGATGTATTTAAGTTAATATTAAAATCTGTAATCTGTATTGTTATTAAAATCTGTAATAAATAAGAATGCAGTTTCAAGTGTGTTTTTCTCTTCTTTTTTCTACTCACATAAAAGTGTGTTTGATTGTTATATAGGAGAAAAATATTTATAAAATTGGAATCTTGCTCTTTAGTAGGATCAATCTAAATTGAGGAAAACATCAACTTGTTGAGGGTATGTTAATGTTTGCGGTGTCCAGTGCTTAAGGAAGCTAGTACAAGTCCAATATATAGAACAGTTGTATCTGATAATGTAGATCAGACGAAACCTGGTCTCCCCGTTGACAAGAACCGCACTGATCGATGGAAAGCCACAGGAGTCGTTGCTTTCGCTCAAGCAAATTTGAAGGCACTGTATACATAGATTTATTGTGGTTTTGGTTTGGATTTAATCTTTCATTTGGCATTGGAGATGGGAACAACTCATTACTACCTTCTCATAAGAGCTTGAATTCGTTAGTAAGCCAAAACTTTGTTTCTTTTGTTGTGGAAAAGGAAATACCCGAAGAAGTATGGGACTGTGGATCTGTAGGTAGGGTACTTGACATCATTGGAGAAGTGCTTTGTTGTAAGTTCGACGAAGGCAATGACAAATCTTGGTGATCAAGTCAAGATCGTCCGCACAAGTCTTATGACTGAATATGTATTCTGCTATCCTTCCTTGACCCAAACTTTTATCAAATCAGATACGTATATATATGTCTACTACATGCCAAATTCGTCTTTTTGCCAGTCTCCTCTCATGCAGTAACATACTAAAAGCCTGAACCCCACGACTACATGGGCCCAGCTTCACCTAGGGGATAGGGTATCTGTGTTCTCTTATATACCTTGGGTGGCAAGAAATCATATAATAACAATATATTTAAAAAAAAACGAAAGTAAGTCGGAACTCTCCGACGCGAATTAGGGTTTAATCGATCTGGAGATGTCATCCATAGGAAGGGCAGAGAAGGATCAATCCTCGGCACCACCGTCTGTGATTACATCACTTCCCGAAGATGTTATCGTTGACATCTTAGCGCGAGTACCGAGATGCGATTATCCAACACTCTCCCTCGTCTCTAAGCACTTTCGATCACTCGTTGCGTCCCCTCAACTATATGCGAGACGATCCTTGTTGGGCTGCACCGAACATTGTCTCTATGTTCTCCTCTTTAACCAAGAGAATGGCGATAGCCGTTTGTATATTCTCCGCCAGAAAGCCAACGACAATAGACGCTTGGTCCTTATCCCTTCGCTTCCCTCTATGTCTTTCTTTGGAAGCTATGTCGCTGTGGGTTCGAGGATATATGTGTTTGGTGGGATTAACAATGACTATAGGACAAGGAGTGCTTTAACCATCGATTGTGTATCTCACACGGTGCAACCTCTCCCTAGCATGCCTGTTCTCATGTCTCAAACAGCCGCTGACATCATCGACGGGAGAATCTACGTAATTGGACATCCCGATTATTATCAAAGGAAGAAGGCGATGGTGATGTTCAATACAGAAACACAAATGTGGGAGGAGCCTAGGGTTATAAAGACAGTCATTGAGCCATGTGCCATGGCTGTGTGGTGATGGCGGATAAGCTGTATAAGAGGGATGCTGATAACAGCTTTGTTTACGATCGAAAAGAAAATAAATGGGAAACAGATGAGATGATTAATTTAGAGAACTGGAAGAGGGCGTGTGTCGTCGATGACGTACTCTACTATTTCGATTCTTACGAGAAGAGTATAAAAATGTATAATCCCAAGCAGAGGTGCTGGGGAGTGGTGAATGGTTTGGAAGATTTGTTGGCTGAGACAATACCTGTATGGTGGTCAAAGACTGTGAGTTACGGTGGGAGACTGGTTTTCCTTTTCCGTAAAGAAGAAGAAGAAGAAGACAGATGTGAGATTTGGTGTGCGGAAATTTCGCTGGAAAGACGTAAGGAGGAGAGATTTGGGGTCAAATTGAGTGGTGTGGTATTGTTTTCACTGGGAATATTAATATTGTCATGATGAAACCTATAGTTGTTATGGTTTGATGCAAAAACTCTGACCTTAGGTTTTGTTTTTTTTCTTGAGCTGTTATGGTTTTGATCAAGAACTCTGCTTACCTTACGGTTTGTTTTTTCTTTAGCTGTTATGGTTGTTTGATGCAACAACTCTCCTTCATATGACTTGTGATTTGTTTTCATTGGGAATATTGTCATGATGAAAACCTATAGTTGTTATGGTTTGATGCAAAAACCCTGCTTACCGTATGTTTTGTTTTTTCTGTAGCTGTTATGGTTTGATCAAGAACTCTGCTTGCCTTATGTTTGTTATTTATTTAGCTGTTATGGTTTGTTTGATGCAGGAACTATCCTTCATATGACTTGTGATTTGTTTTTACTGTGAATATTGTCTTGATGAAACCTATAGTTGTTATGGTTTGATGCAAATACTCTCCTTCATATAACTTGTGTTTTGGTTTCTTTTTTTTAACAGACTGGGAAAATTGTCTCTTTTCTTTTCATTACTGATTTCGTTGCTGCAAATGAAACCAGTGACTATCTGTTGGCCGTAGGATCTTAAGTAATATTTGGAGAGTTATTTAAGTAGTTTGATTTCCATGTTTACTACATGCTTAATTATATATGGTGTAATAAGATTTGTCAAGAAATCATGATAAATTCACCCTTCTTCCTCATTAACTGGGAGTATATGAGTTTATCTTCTTATATGTTTTCTGTTCAGACAATTCACTCAGTTTGCTGTTAATTGAATAAGAGCATAAAAATTGAAAAGAAACAAACAAATAGAGGGAAAGAAAGAAACATGAATCATCAAGAGACTTGTTGCTTCACTCAAGTTACTTTTTTCTTACGTTACTTCACCAAACGTGCTTATAAATAATAAGAAACCAGTGGTTATATATAATATATACTGTACATCACAGTGAAAGCAAATATGGTCTAGTAGTGGGGTTTTCATCAATGCTCTAATCCATAAATTGAAAAGCTTGACTAAAACAAATTTGTCAATTTCTAGATTAGATCACATTCATTATATCAAAATGAATGTGATCTACGGGAGCAATAGCTGTGGAGACCAAATCACCAAAAATGACGAAGGTAAAATACAATTGTTGCCATGTTTATCGCAATAATTGCATTACATAATTAAAGTTATTAAATTTAGCTATTTTAATGAAGAATATAATTTTTAGATATTTATTACTATAAAATAGTAATACTAACCTGTACCAGGTTATATTAAAACTGGAGCTAGAGAAAAGGGTTTTAGATATTCTCCTCTCTCTGGGTGATTGTTAATTTTGAGCCTAAAATTAGGGTTCTGCGCTATTGTCATAGAGATTGGATGACTGTAGATATTGAGACGGAGCAATCCACGAAACCACAGTCTGTGATGACGTCACTTCCCGACGACATCATCGTTGATATCTTAGCGTGTACACCGAGATGCCACTATCCAATTCTCTCCCTCGTTTCCAAACACTTCTGCTCACTGGTTTCCTCGCCTGAGATATATGCCAGACGGTCTTTGCTGGGCTGCACCGAACACTGTCTCTATTTTGTCCTAGACAACGGTTATCTCTGTTGGTATATTCTCAACCGGAAAGCCAACGGCAATAGCCTCTTCGTCCTTATCCCTTCGCTTCCCATTATGCCTCTCGATAGAAGCTTTGTGTCGGTAGGCTCGAGTATATATGTGTTCGGTGGGATTAGCAATGACAATGGTACAACGAGGGTGTTAACCATCGATTGTAGACCTCTTCCCAGCATGCCTGTTCTCACGTATGATACAATCGGTGGCATCATCGACGGAAAAATATATGTAATTGGAAATCACTAGTTCGATGATGTCCAGAAGAAGGCGATGGTGGTATTCAATACAGAAACACAAAAGATAGACATCGAGATAGGTGACATGTGGCGTGGTTGTGTGGTGATGGCTGATAAGCTGTACACGAGTGTTAGTGATGGGTTTTGCTAAACCCTTCATAAATTGAGACAAGGCCCATTTGAAGCCCTACCTCCGCTTTCGGGTTTAGGTCGGCGCTCAAATATGAAAATATCCGAAGATATATTCGAATCGCGGAAGAAAAGGAAAGAGGATTCCGAGAAGAAAGGAAATTATCCTAATCGCGAAGGAGAGGGATTATTCTCAAGGCGGTCTACGAAGGTTATATAAGAAGAGCCTCCTCCCTCGAAGATCATTCATTCACAACTTCGGACTTGAGACCTAGGGCAAACTGTAGCTTATAGCTCGCAGCTTTAGATCTCGGTTCTTTATTCCCAAATTTTAGGTCGGCGTTCTTTTCCGACGACCTAAATCCATTGTACTTTTCGAGCTCCGGCTAATCAATAAAATGACTTAATCTTTTCCTCCACAAATCTTTATATTTTCTCTTAGAGAAATATCTAGATCTTATAATTGGCACCGTCTGTGGGGAAAAAAAGATACAAGTTCGTCCACTCACGCCGGAACTCGAAGATGTCTACGGAGAAGCGATCCACCGACAGTACCACCGACGATACAATCATCCAACCACCCGCCCTAAATCAGGCCGGAAACAACCCCAGGATACCGCAGACCGGATTGGGCACCGCCCCCTAGAGCCCGGTGGCAGTTCAAACGTCCAACAACACGGGACGGTAGATGAGACCAACCTTCCGCCAGCCCGGAGCTCCCTCAACACGACGGGCACACTCCCGCCCCCTCTGCCTCCACCCGCACCAACAGACATCACCGCCATCCTACAATCGTTCATGGCGCAGATGGACAACAAGTTGAACGACCAGATCAGGGCTCTCAAAGCTCAGCAGGTCGCGTACCTGGAGACAATACGGGAGTCCCGACCCGAATCTCCATCGCAAGACGAAGACGACACCGAGACCGGCACTCCCAGAGCCATCCACGTACCCCCGGGCATCACCGCATCCAGAGCCAAGCGCCTAATCTTCGGTGAAACACCCACCTCAGCACGAGGCAGCGACCACCAGCACGTGAAGGACTCCAGCGCACGGTCTAAGCACAAATCCCGCCTGTCCGCCCCGGGACTCCCCCCCCCCCCCCCCCCCCCCCCCCCCCCCCCCACGAGACCCCCGAGCAAGCCGAGCTCACCCGTCTCAACCAGAGGATCAACGAAATCAAATCTCAAGTCCACCACGCGACTAGCTCGGCCCCCGAGCTTGAGAAGGTTCTGGAGCTTACTCAACAGACACCGTTCGCAGATTGTATCATCCGCGTACCCTTCCGAGACACCGTGAAACTGAAGCTTCCAGCGTCATTCGTCGGCAACACGGACCCGCAAAAACATCTAACGACATTCAATAACACGATGAACCGAGCCCGGTTCTCAAAGGAAGAACATGACGCCTCCCTCTGCCAATACTTCGTGGAATCCCTTGCCGGAAACGCCCTCCAGTGGTTCTCCAAGCTCAAACCGAACTCCATCGAGACGTTTGCCCAACTCTCGTTGGAATTTTTGGCACTACTCCATGTATATCGAGCGAGTAGGCAACACCGCCGAACTCTGGACATGTGTCCAAGGTGAAAAAGAAACCCTCCGTGACTACATCGGCCGTTTCCGCGCCGTCATCGCACGATGCGACCCGACAGACGAGAATGCCCTGATAGCACTCGGCCTTAACCTTCGCAAGAACCAAAAGTTCTACGACAAAGTGACAACAGGCAAAACAACATCCCTCGACGAACTCCTCCACAAAGCCACAAAATTCATGAACCTAGAGGACACACAAACAAGAGAGGACGAAAAACTCACAGCGAAGAAGAAGTCTACTAGCTCCCGACCTAAAGAAGAGGAGTACCAGGAACCTCGCCAACACTATGATCGCGACGACAAGGCTCGCAAGGCCAACGTCTCAACCATCACCCGATCTCACCCATGGAACAAATGGGTAAACTCCTCGGACGACGCCTCTGGATCGCAACCATATTGCACATGGCACAAGCGCTCCGGCCACGACGACACCGAATGCCGCCACCTTAGAGACATCCTCATGCAAGAATGGCTGGCCGGTAGGATCAAACTGGATGACCGACTAAGAGACGGATACTCACGCCGACCCTGTGCCGATCAAGCCCGCCCTCGGGCTGACGACCGACGCGCCCCCGCGCATCAGGAACAGACCCGTCCTGACGACAATCCCAAGCGTGCACGGGAGGACTCGCCTCCACCACCACCAGCACTCCCGTCACCCCGAGGCAGAATCAACATGATCATGGGCGGCCTCCTTACATGCAACGATCAACTCGATCAAAAATCATGAGCACCGTGCCACGAACGCCAAGAAAGAGACGCCGGTCTACGACGACACCCTGCCCATCACCTTCACGGAAGCGGACACTGAAAGCCTTGACCGCCCGCACAACGACCTGCATGTTATCTCCCTCTGTATCGGATCGGACGATGTCTCGAAGATCTTGGTCGACACAGGCAGCTTCGTCGATCTCATATTCAAGACCACACTAATTCAGATGGGGTTCAAAGACAGCGAGATCAAAGTCGCCCCAAAAGCACTCACGGGCTTCGCTAGCGACTCCACCTCGACTATCGGCACAATCAAACTGCCCATCACGACCGAAGGAGGCATCGTCATCATGATCAAATTCGATGTCATCGACAGACCGGCCATTTACAACGTCATCCTCGGGACACCTTGGATCAGTACTATGCGAGTTGTTACTTCACCATATCATCAATGTCTGAAGTACCCAGGCAGAAAGAGAATCATCACGATCATAGGCGACCAGCACGAGTCCCGGTCTTGCTACATCGCCGCATCAAGTCCGGCACTCGTCTACTTTCGTTATCGATAATATGGATCCCTGCGTCATGCATCACGAGAAGCCAAAAAACGACCTGGTCATACAAGTGAGCATCGACATTGAGCACCCCGAACGATGCGTCGGAATCGGTACCGAGCTTCTTCCCGATATGCGCGACGACCTCATAGCCTTCCTCCGTGAGAACGTCAACACGTTCGCATGGTCCATGGCGGATATGAAAGAGATCAGTCCAACCATCACCAGCCACGAGCTGAACGTAGACGTTACGTTCAAACCCATCAAACAGAAGAGGCGCAAGCTCGGTCCCGAGCGAGCTCAGGCCATCCAGGATGAAGTCGAGAAGCTCCTTGCCGCCGGATCAATTCAAGAGGTTCAATACCCGGACTGGCTCGCCAACCCCGTGGTAGTAAAGAAGAAGAACGGCAAATGGCGCATTTACATCGACTTCACGGATCTCAACAAGGCTTGACAGCTTCCCGCTGCCTCGCATCGATCAACACGTAGAAGCAACCACTGGCAACGAGCTGCTATCCTTCATGGATGCATTCTCGGGGTACAATCAGATCATGATGCACTCCTCAGACCGGGAAAAGACCTCGTTCATCACAAACAGAGGAACGTACTGTTACAAGGTGATGCCGTTCGGACTCAAAAACGCCGGCGCTACTTACCAGAGACTGGTTAACAAGATGTTCGCCGACCAGCTCGGGCAGACAATGGAAGTCTACATCGATGACATGCTTGCCAAGTCACTAAAA